ATCAGTATTTAGTTTTAAGAAAATACGGTTCCGTTTGCGGTTTGTCGATTTCGCGTTGCTAAAAATCGGCTAGCGCCCTAAATACACGAAGTAAGGATTGAATGAGCAGCTGATTGTTCCCGGAGTCCAGTTTTAGCGTTAGGGTTTTTGGCGTTTCAGACTTGTCGGATTACGAGAACGAAGGTAATGAGTTGGCCGTGTTTGGATAATCGAGACTTCTGGGTTAGGGTTTATTGAGTATTTGTTGAGGCCAAAGAAAAATCATTACAGATTTTTTCCAAAGTTTTTTTTTTGAGAATTTTACCGGAATTTATTTTCCCGGATTCCTGCAGAACTTCTCGAGAATGTCTGCATGCGAGTTTCTCCAGAATTTCTTCTTACGAGCTTCTCCAGAATTTTTCCGCAAAACTTTTTGCGGAATTTTTTTTTTGATTCTCTTCAGAATACCCTCTCCAGAATTTTTAATCGAGAATTTCCCTTCGAAAATTCTTTCAGAGTTTCTCTTTGAGAATTCCTCTAGGTTTTCTTCTAAAGAGTTTCCCCAGAATTTCTCANTCAAGAGTTTCCCCAGAATTTCTCCTCAAGGATTCCTGTAGAATTTTTTCTCAAGAATTCCTTTAGGATTTCTTCACTAGAATTCTTCTACAATTTCTTCTCGAGAATTTTCAGACAATTATTTCTTGAAAACTTTCCTACAATTACTCCTTGAAAACTTTCCTACAATTACTCCCTGAAAACTTTCTTATAATTTCTTCTCAAAAATTTCTCCACGATTCCTCGGGAATTTTCCCCAGTATTCCGCCAGAATATCTCGAGAATTTTTCCTCAATAAATTCGCCAGAATTTCTTTTTCAGAATTTATCCAAAATTTCTTCTGAAAAATTTCTTCAGAATTTCTCCAAAATTTCTCCAGAATTTCTTCTTGTGAGTTTCTTGAAAATTCCTTTTGAAGAATTCTTCCGGAATTTCGTTCCGACAATTTCTTCAGAATTTCTTCTTGTGAGTTTCTGCAAATTTATTTCTAAAAAATTACTCCGGAAATTTTGATGAATCTCGCGAGAAGAAATCGTGGATAAATTCATGAGAAGAAATTTTGGAAAAATTATTTTAAAAAAAGGTATTCTCAGAATGAAATTCCGGAGCAATTCCGTGATGAATTATCAAAAAGAAATTCCGGAAGAAAACAGGAAAAATTATCGAAAAGAAATTTCGGAGGAATTTTTGCGAATTTGCCAGAATGAATTTTGATGAAACTCGCGAGAAGAAATTATGAAGAATTTCTTGAAAAGCAATACAGGGGGTATTTTTCAGAAAAAATTCCGGTACTTCTTAAGAAGCAATTCTGGCAAAATTTTACAAGAGAAATTCTGGAGAGAGAATTTTCTAGAGAGAATTATGAAGAAAATCTTAAAAAGAGATTCAGGAGGATTTTTTGATAAGACATTTTGGAGAAATTCACGATAAAAAATTCCAGAGAATTTCTCCACAAAGTCTGAAATCAAGAGAATCTAGGAATTGTGGTAAACTCATTGGGGATAAAAATTTAAAGAGATTCTAGGAGAGAAACTCTGGAAAAATTCCCAAAAAAAAATTCTCGAGGAAAAATTCTCGAGGTATTCTGTGGGAATCCTGAAGAGAAAATTCCGGAGGAATCTTGGAGATATTCTCCAGGAATCTCGGAGAAATTCTTGAGAAGAAGTTCCGTATAATTTCGCGAAAAGAAACTGGCGAACTTTTTTTTAGGAGGAATTCTTGAGATATTCGGCAGGAATACTGGAAAAATTCGCGAGGAATCGTGGAGAAATTTTCGAGAAGAAATTATCGAAAAAATCTGGAGGAGAAATTGTATAAAAATTCTCGCAAAGAAATTCTGGGGGAATTGTCCAAGAAAAAATCTCGATTAAGAATTGTCAGGAAGGAATTCTGGAGGAAATTCTGAAAAAAAAATTCAGGAAAATTTTTTCACGAAAAATTTGGGAGAAACCCGCACGAAGCAATTTTGGAGAAATTCTCGAGAAGACATTCTGGAGAAGTTCTGCAGCAATTCGGGAGAATAAATTCTGGAGAAATTTCCAAAAAAAATTTCTGAAGGCATCCTGAAGAAATTCTTGGAAAAAAATGGGGAGAAACTTTCAAAAAGAAATGCTGTCGAATTTACTCTGACCTCCCACTATTATCATTCATTGAATTATTTCAAATTAATTGCTTATTTATAATTAATGGTTCATTAGAAATGAACATACTCCTGACTCAAGAAGGCTTTTGGACATGTAGCATTAGACATACAAATATGCATATCCTGCCATTCCCTCCTGCCCCATAATTTCACAATCATATTTTAAGGCTTTTTTGCCTTTTTTCCACATCCTCGCAACATCTCCGGAAAATCGGGAATGCTAGGTCGTTGAAGCTTAAGGTGAGGGTGAGAATATTTATACATATTTTCAATATATACTTTTTATTCCATATTGAGAAAAACAGAAGAGAGTAGAAATTCAGGGGACGCTACAATTCAGGCAACGTTCAAGACCGTTGGGATTTTATATGTATATACATTTATAACATTTATACCTCTTATCAAACTCTATTTTCTATTACATACCCCTATGTACATTTTATACATATGTATATTTTCAGATATATTTTAAAATCAAAATTTTAGATAGGATTTTTTTTGGTTCTTTTATTTCAGTTCAATAACTCGAGTTTGATCCAGTTGATTTCAATTTATGAGAAGTCAAAATCTCTTATTTTCTCTCGCTCACTTCATTTTTTTTGGCAAATTTCGAAAGATAACCCATTGAAAATGAAATAGATCGCGGAGGTGGTTCATCTCGAACGACGGCTCAAAATGCGGGTTCTGCGTGTAAGAACTCAGGGACTTGGAACGAAACTCTGGAACGAAACGAAACTGCGGTTTTTCCGTTTCGTTCCAAGGAACGCAGTGGGGAACGAAACTAAACCTGGAACAAAACTCGAGTAACGTTACCGCCAGGAACGAAACCCTGTACCGAAAGTCCAGTAACGTTACCGCCTGGAACGAAACTCTGTACCGAAAGTCCGGTAACGTTACTGCCTGAAACGAAACCCTGTACCGAAAGTCCGGTAACGTTACCACCCGGAACGAAACCTTGGAACGAAAGTCGAATGACGTCATCACTGAAGAAGAACCCTTCGTGTAAAAATTGAGTGAGAGTTCCCATTCTAGACTTTTTCTTACTCTAAAAATGTATCCATGTTAGTTAATTACGTACCATAAACGATGAAATATGGCATTTCTCTGTGCCGAAAACTGAATTTTATGACACAAAATTATCCGTGTGGATAATTTTATGACAATATTGCGGGTGCCGGACAGTTATATATTATTTATTCCAAACAGCCATTAATTATTTGTTATTATTTGTGACAATTCTCAAAAGTATGTGCTTTACATTTATTAATTATTCCAATCAAACTACAGTTTCAATTCTCCAAAAAAATACATGAACGAATCTAACGGTTCTGCAGATGCAAGATTCCCCTAAAATTCCTAAAAGCATTCATCTATTTTTAAGCTTTTCATTGATTCTTCATCATGGAGAAAAAAAAATAAATAAAGGAAAATAAGCACAGTATGGTGTATTTTTTAGGCATCTATTCAGTTTTGCATGAAAAACTGATAAATGATATGTAAATGACCATTGCGAATTATCGTCCAATATTTTTGTATTAATTCTGGTTTCATCGTAAAATTGAAACAATTTCTTAAAGACAATCCCAGAAAACAATCGGCCGCAAATTTGTCGGCAATTTGGCGGAGACTCAACCACAAAATTGTATTTGAATTTAATTTCAATTTGAGGGCAATGAGGGCCACGAAATGAAAGTTAGACTTCATGAGTCAAGTTTCACGCGAAAGTCAATTTTCATGAGGCCCACGTGGGCTATAAGGGCCACGAAGCAGAACTCACATTTTATGAGTTCCACAAGGGCAACCAGGGCCACGGAGGGAAAGTCAAATTTTATGACTCTCACGAAGGCAATGAGGGTCACGAGGCGAAAGTCAGATTTCATGAAGGTAACAAGGGCAACGAAATCCACGAGGGGAATGTTAAATTCCTCGATGGCCACGATGGCCAAGAGGGAAATGTCAAATTCCACGAGGTGAACGTCCAATTCCATGAGGGCCACGAGGCAAAAGTCCGATTTCATGAGGGCCACGAGACGAAAGTCAGATTTCATGAGGGTCACAAGGGCAACGAGGGCCACGAGGGGAATGTAAAAATTCCTCGACGCCCACAAGAATCACGAGGGGAATGTCAAATTGCACGAGGGCCACGAGGCGAAAGTCAAATTTCACAAGGGCAACGAGGGCCACGAGGGGAATGTAAAAATTCCTCGACGTCCACAAGAATCACGAGGGGAATGTCAAATTCCATGAGGGCCACGAGGCGAAAATCAAATTTCACGAGGGTCACGAGGGCAGTGAGGGCCATGACAAAAAAGTCAAATTTTATGAGGATCACAAAGGCAACGAGGTCCACGAGACGAAAGTCAGATTTCACGAAGCTCACAAGGCCCACGAGGGCCACGAGGCGAAAGTCAGATTTCACGAGGGTCACAAGGATAACGAGGGCCACGAGGGGAAAGTCAGATTTCACGAGGGTCACAAGGATAACGAGGGCCACGTGGGCTAT